AGCTGCCGGGAAAGCCAAATGTGAGATAACAAACCACGAGCCTCATGGTAAAATATAAGCTAATAGAAATGGGTTAATTTATAGTTAGAGCTAGTCAGTAATAAGCCTAAGTCATTGGCCAAACAACTGTAACTGATAATAAGCCTCAGAGTGGTTATTTCATAAGCCACAGGGAGCTGGTGGGCGGTGAACAGAGAGAAACCTGTCCAGTGGACGGCGGGACAGAGAAGACTTCCCACTACACTGGTGGGCTGCTGACCAAGCGCTGGCTTGCTCTACTCTTCAGATGTAACTCTGCTGTTTAGGTTTGACAAAGGGCCTTGTTTTGTAGTTTTCTTCCAAAATGCACTCGGATTATGTCCTCATTTCCTGAAAGTAGTCCAGACATCCATGTGGCAAGTTGAGAGAAGCCGCAGCACGGAGCTTTGAAGGGAACAAAGTGGCAGCAGCCTCTGGCGGAGTCCTTTCTTCCTCACGGGTGAGCCCTGAGACAGAGAAGTGTGTGCACTAACACACGCAGAGCTCTGAGATTGACAGTCCACCATACAGATGTGCAGAGCAGGGCCCAGACGAGGCACATGATCAAACATGACCTGGAGCTGCAGCAGAGACCCGGGGCTGCAGCAGAGACCCGGGGCTGCAGCAGAGACCCGGGGCTGCAGCAGAGACAAACCTGGGGCTGCAGCAGAGACAAACCTGGGGCTGCAGCAGAGACAAACCTGGGGCTGCAGCAGAGACCCGGGCAGTAACAGAGACCCAGGGCTGCAGCAGAGACCCGGGGCTGCAGCAGAGACCTGAGGCTGCAGCAGAGCCCACACAGCCTTCCACTGAAGGGGCTGTCCAGCAAACTGTGAGACTGAAGAAGAGGGGAAGGTCTTAGGGCTCACCCGTTGATTGGCATATTCACTGGCTAGTGTGCTGACATCCCCAAGGCCTTTGCTGTTTTTAAGCCTTTTTTCTCTTTTTCTACTTTTCTTGTGTGCCTGGAATGTACATGTATGTGTACGCATGTTTTTGCATGTGGGTAGGTGTGCGTGCTCATGTGTGCATGCATGTGGGTGTCAGAGGTTGATGTCATAGTCATCCTTCATTGCTTTTCTACATTATTCATTGAGACAGAGTCTTTTGATCAAACACTCAGAGCGCACCCAAGAGACTAGTCTTGCTGGCTAGCTTGTTCCAGGCTCCCATCTCTCTTTTTTGAGACTGGAATTATAGAGCGCAGATATACCCACAGAGGTTTTTGGGTGATCCAGACTCCAATCCTCATGCTTGGGCAGCAAGGGCTTTAACTGCTGCATCATCGCCCCAACGAGTCATCTTTATTCTGTATCTTCAGGTCATGTCCAAGGGCTGGTCTACAGCAACAGTTCACAGACCATCCTGGGGAAACCTGGGGGCCATGAGAAGAGGCTAGGCTCATACAGAATGGCTACGAGATCATGTTTATAATGAACTAAAATCTTTCCGTTTCCCACTGTGTCTCAAGGCAACCGTGGAGCTTGTCGCTGCAGGATGGGATATGCCGAGGTCATAAATGTAGGTACGGAGAGGATGCAGCTCTCTGGACTTAGGGCAGGACCTCCTATGTCTGCTCACTATTGCTCTCGCATCAAGTGTGTAAGAACAGGGTCCTCCGTCTCCACTTGCTGCGCCTCTGCTCTGTGCTGCCTCCGTGTGAACACCCCCCCACCTGCAGTCAAGCAGAAAGGCTCACTCTCATGACCTTGAACACTTTTCTCCTCACCCACCTTTTCCTAAGCCAGCACAAAATAGTGGGAGCCTATTACTATTCTAGCATGTTAATCGGATTCTGCCCTGTGTTGTACTTCATTTTTTTTCCTTTAAAATCTCTAAACAAGCAACATGCTCTGAATAGACTTGTGTTCAATCCTCAAGGCTTACACAGCACTCTCAGTGTGTTATATTATCAACCCACCCATGTCTCTTGAGACGTTCTAGAGGGTGCATTGCAATCTGTGCTAAGACTGGGACACTGAGTCACAGGGAGGGTGGCATCTCTGGAGCTCATACATGGATATGCAGTCAGGATGAATCCTAATATGTCTACAGATCTCCTTCACTGACTCTTCGTTCTGGTCTGGCCGCACAGAGGAAAGTCCAAGCAGAGCCCCGTGGGCTTGCAAAGGTCATGGTGACCTCCACACTCTTCTGGTGCTTGTCTCACACCCATGCTCTCTGAGATTGCCGGGCTCCCGGGCAAAGAGCCTTCCGGAAGGGTTTTATGTGTGTTTAAGGGCAGTGTTATGTCTTAGCAGCTCGGTCTCCTGGATAGATTCTTTAAAAACAAAGTAACAAAAATATTTTATTATTCAATTTTAGATGCTGGGCTCCCCTGAGATTGTTTTGTCTTACTGAGAGCCTCTTTATCCTCACGTCTTTGTCATGTTTATTTTTATACTTATAGCAATTTATATACCCTTGTAAGAAATTTTATATAAGGAGATAAATGCTGGGCCATAACATTGAATAACTATTTGAATCCCTAAGATAAGTATTATTGCCTCCAATACAGAATCATAATCACAGACTGCACAAGGAGCTTCCACAAGGTCAAATCATGGCTCCTGGGACAAGCTGGAAACGCCGTTTGTCCGCACCCTTCCCCTCGTGTCTCCATTAAACACATCTTTTCATAAATAATCGACAGCACATCTGGAGTGCTGCAGGGCACCATGACTCTCATCTTCTTTATGGTTTCTATTTTCTCACTTCCGAATAAAGATAAGAGGGTGTCTGCCAGGGTTCAGGTTGGTCATTTCTTTCTTCAAACGTCTTTTACTAAACTATAAGTTCATGTGGGGCTGAAATTGACTCCATGTTCTTTATTAGCTATTGAAACACTTCTGAAAATGCCCTGGGTGGTTCCTCAATCACCCCTGTGACTGAGGCCAAGTTGAAACCTCAAGGATTGCTTGCCTCAGTGACCATGCACATGCTTACGTGTGCGTTTGCATGTGTGTGCATGCGTGTAACATATGCCACAATCTTGTTTTTCTTTGGCTTTTGGAACCTGTGTGGGACTTTCCCCCATGTGTTTTATATGGGTGGATGCCAAATCAATTATATTTTATTTTATTTATAATTTCTATGGCAAAATAAAGAAATACCTTTAATGCTATGAAGTTGGGTCAGGAATGAAAGCTACCCTCCTCTTATGAGCCTAATTCACAGTATGAAGGAATTCTGTGTAGTGAGCAAGAATATAAAAATTCTTATCCCTAAGACAACAGCAGAGGAAGACAGAAAGTCAAGGCTGGAAGAAGAAAGCAGTTGAACTGACTGGTACAGAGTTATTTTAATACACCACGTGGAGATTCCTGTATTTTACACACAGTGATAAAAAATTCCATTGCAGAAACAAACTTATATTCTCTAGCGTATTATGTTTTACTAGCACTTCCAAACGTGCAATCTGAACAACGGAAAGAGCGGGGTTCTCTCTGGTCAGCTGACCTTAAGAGTTGGTTGTGATGCAGGAAGCAGTGGAACATGTGAGACTCTGGAGGACACCGTGCTCACTGATGAAATAGTAGATGCTAAGACGGAAAGAGTTGGCCTCTTCCTCTAAGGAAGCCCCAGAGCGGCCAGTGTGGGTCAAGGAGCCATGAGCAATGAGCTGACAGTTTGCCAGGCCCCATCACAAAAGAGCCTGGGGGGCTGTATGTGCTACAGGTTGCATTTGGCATCTATAAGGCTTCAAAACTGGGAGCCTCCTCTACTGAGAATTTGTTCTTTATACAAGCCTGTGATCCACCTGCCTCTTGAGAACTGTAAGCTAAGTAAATACCTCTTTTATGAGTTATCCAGACTCAAACACTATAGGGGAGAGCACCCAAGAAACATATGGGGAAGAGGGCTGAGACTGATGCATTGCAGGTCTACAGCGAAGCCGGCCAAGCTGAATGGCAAGTTAGGGTGGCCTCCGGACTGGACAAGGCACAGCATCCCTAAAGCTAAAGAGGATCCGCAGTTGTCTCTAATGCTACTACGAGATCAAGGACACTGGACAAGTGACCTTTGGATTTGGCCGCGTGGGGCCAGGGAGGGGACTAGTCAACACATTGTGGGTTGAGAAAAGAGTGTGGCACCGGCCTCTTTGAATAGCTGTGTCGTCAAAGGTAAATATGTAACCCAAAGGGGATGGTGGCAGGCCTTTTCCTAAAGACAGGAAATGTGCCACTGCTGATCTTTGTAGAGCTCAGAGTTCTGGAGAGGCACTGAATGGGTGCTGATAGTTGAGAGATGAAGCAGGCCGCTGTCATCTCTGAACGAAACCCAGCGCTGAGGTCTCGAACCACCAGCGGGCGACGCTTCCCTCGGGGACAGCTAGGCGGAGGAGACTCATTGCTCGTCCAGCTGTCCAGCGATCGCGGAGCCGCGCGCCCTCCACGGACACGCGCCCTGTCACTCTACCCGGCTAGCTGCCAGGAGATAGACGTGGCGCTGGCCGCTGCGCACGCTCCACGCGGCCAGGGCGGGGCAGGGCGGGGCGGCTCGCCCAGCGCGAGTGGGCGTGGCTATGCC